TATTTATCTATTATGGTATTAATAGACACTGGTGTTTCCAGTTCAGAGGTACAATAAACGAAGCTGCTATGGAACATTCTTTTTTTTTTTTTTAAAGATTTTATTTATTCATTTGACAGAGAGAGACACAGCGAGAGAGGGAACATAAGCAGGGGGAGTGGGAGAGGGAGAAGCAGGCTTCCCGTGGAGCAGGGAGCCCGATGCGGGGCTCGATCCCAGAACCCCAAGATCATGACCCGAGCCGAAGGCAGACGCTTAACGACTGAGCCACCCAGGCATCCCCGCAACACTTATTTCTAAACATCTTTCAGTCTGCACAAAATTATGTGCTCTGAGTTTTCTCATATTTGCTTTTCCTGGACTTCTTGGCTTAGAAAAATGTGTGTCTCTGGAAGGGTACTACCTGAGAGCTGACAGTTCCAGTCTCGTTGGTTCGGCACAGTTGGCCATATACTTGGCTGTACTTTGCATACAGCTGATTAGATACCTGGAGCAAACCATCACCAAGAAAGAAATAGAGGCAAAATTCATCAAGTTATGGCAAATTTGCTTGAGATGAAGAACCACCAAAAGAGCAGAAATCACTTTTATCTTACCTCATTGGAATTATATTCTCTTAGCATCTAAACAACAGCAATAGCAACAGAACAGTGCTTTGCTTTGTTTTTAAATATCTGATAAACATGAAACTTAAAAACTCTAATCCTGGGGCGCCTGGGTGGCTCAGTCATTGGGCGTCTGCCTTCAGCTCAGGTCATGATCCCAGGGTCCTGGGATCGAGCCCCGCATTGGGCTCCCTGCTCCACGGAAAGCCTGCTTCTCCTTCTCCCACTCCCCCTGCTTGTGTTCCCTCTCTCACTGTGTCTCTCTCTGTCAAATAAATAAGTAAAATCTTAAAAAAAAAAAAAAAAAACCCTCTAATCCTAAACACCTTATAAATTATGATTCCTGTCTCCATACAAAAGAAATCCAATTTCAAATTTTGCTTTATAATTTTTTTTTTAGCTAAGGTTTATTTATTTGTTTCTACCGTTGCCATTAAAAGGAAACTATTTTTTCACTTAAAGACTAGCAGGAGAAAATACTTTTATGGCTGTCCTTTAAGAGAAGAAAGGATTCCTCGAACTAATCCCACAATTCCAAACAAGTAGCTCTAGTGATCCCCTCACCTACAGTCATGGCACGGGTACTCAGGTACCTCTGACTGGAGGCAAGGAGCTGCCCAGATTAGTGTAGATACAGATTCGGCGAGACCAGAATCCAGTTTCCTAAGACAAACACAAAGTTATGTGACACAGGGTTTTATGTTCCTTCCCCCAACTCCTGCCCCTGCTTCAAAGGTAGCCCATGGGGGTGCCTGGGTGGCTTAGTCGGTTAAGC